ACACTTGCATATATATATATATATATATATATATATATATATATATATATATATATATATATACTGGTTGCGATATGTAAATTGTCGCCATTTTATATTTTTAATTTTGTGCATGCCAGTTTATTGTTTATGAATTTTCCGACTGCAATCCACCAGAAATTTGGAAACGGCATGCTGAGTTGCTTGGCATTCACACCAGAAGCTCCAATACGAATATTTCTGTGTTTAGATGTCAATCTGACTATAGTGTAGTGGATTACGAAAGAGTCGGATGAGTTTAATGGTGATTACGAAGGTGTTTGGTATCATGGCGTGATGGCAACATTATGCCTACATTCACCTTTCCACAGGGTTTCAGACTTAACACGAATGCCTACATCAATTGCCTTAAAGAGGTAGTGTTGCCCAGTGTCAAGAGCATGGCAGCTGTAAGACCCTTTGTCTGGCAATAGGACTATGCACCATGCCACACAAGCAGGAGAACCCAATCATGGCTGTCAGTCAATTTCTGCGACTACATTACCCTTTACATCTGGCCACATAACTACCCATTCTGCAAATCTCTTGATTATTATGCGTGGGATGCAGTTGAGCTGATGAACTGAAGACAAGGATTATGTCAGCATTCACCAACTTAAAATAAGAAGACCATCCAGAAGAGTTGCAGGAGATTCCGAAGCCGTGTGGAGGCAGTGGTTCTAGCCAATGGCAATTTTATTGAATAAATTTTACGCTTTAGTTTTTCAAGATATTTTTGTGTAATTTTGGTAAATATATCTGCTAAAATGAAATGTCAATGTTATTTTCATTTTTGCGTACACATTAATTTTTTCACATCACACACACACACATACACATATATATATATATATATATATATATATATATATATATATATATATATATATGTGTGTGTGTGTGTGTGTGTGTGTGTGTGTGTGTGTGTGTGTGTGTGTAGGGAAAAAATGAAGGACCTAATAAGAAATAAAGAAAAAACTTTCAAACTATTCTTTTGGTCTATGAAAAAGAGAATTTCAGAAATGTAATATTTTTAACGAGAAGGCGCAACATGTTAATTTCCTGGAGGTTAGCATTAGCCATACTGGTGGATGGTAGAAATTGATTTCTCAGATGATTAATAGTTTTATTCTGGAGGTGTTAAAAGTACCAAGCCAGTTAAAAACAGACTGAAAGTCGTTTGTGACATCAGCTTCCAGTTTGGCCTTATCGAACTGATCAGATTTACTATCCAGACAGGAGAAACTTGCTGTTTCGTCATCAAAAATAGCAAATTGACAACTGATGCAAATCGGGAAGGTCGTTAATGAAAAGTAAAAGCATAGTAGTACCGAGAATCCTGAAAGTCACAGGAGCGTTCGTAAAAAAAGGATCTCAGAAATAAAAAGGATACGGATACTTAGTATTTGAATGAGACAGTTGACATTTCTTGGACATACAATTATGCAGAAGACTTATGCAAATGTAATACTCACAGAACAAACAGAGGGAAATTGCCAGTATCATTTTCAGTGAGTTTACATAACGGAATGACAAGATGGATTCGGTGAGGAAATGCCATATAAAATATTTTCATCCTCCATATTGAATCCTAAAATTATCGCTGAAATCTATCAATAAAATAGTGACTCGGTGTGATTAGAACTCATTACGAGTATTTCGCCTTTCTGAACTCACTTGCAACGCTTCCTATATGGCAACACACACACACACACACACACACACACATATATATATATATATATATATATATATATATATATATATATATATATTTGTATTTGTGTGTGTGTGTTTTGTGTGCACAAACAGTAGCATTGTTTTTAGAAAACATGACATGTGTGTAGAAACAGGATTTGTGTGTATATGTCTGTACAAACAGTATCTGCCTGCATCTGTGTGTCTGTCTACATACAGTGACTATGTGCGTGTATAAACAGTACCTCTATGTGTGAATGTGTATGTAGAAACAGAACCAGTCTGTGTGTGTGTGTGTGTGCCTGTTTGTGTGTACAAACTGCACCAGTGTGTATATACAAACAGGATCTGTGTGTATGTGTGAGTACAAATAGTATCTGTGTGTATGTGTGTGTCTACTTACAGTAACTATGTGTTTGTATAAACAGTACCTGTATGTGTTAATTCGTGTGTAGAAACATGACTTGTCTGCGTGTGTGTGTGTGTATCTATCTTTTCTCCCATTAATCATAAATCTTTACATGTGCATTAAAATGTCATGAATATCTTAATCGGTTTATAATAACAAACTAATGTGTCATCCTTTTACACAAGGGTAAAATGCATTGAAGACAACAGTAGAAAATATTATTTTATGTAAATTAAAATCACTTTAGCCATTAAACTAAAGGACAATGACTAATGACCTCCAGACATTTAATATTGTCAACACTTCATTTGCCGCTTGTTTATGTTCGCGGTCTTTTCCGAACAATTTAGATGAGCAATAATAGAGATGTACAGAGATTGAGAGAGGGAGAGAGAGAAAGGGAGAGTGACAAATATGAAAATTCTTTGCTAGATAGATAGATAGATAGATAGATAGATAGATAGATAGATATGACTCAACAATCGGCAGATTGATCGATCGATTGTTCGATATACAGATAGATGATAATAAAATGAGATGAATAGATAAGTAGATAAGACAAAACGAATATAGATAGATAATGAACAAGCCGAGATAGATAGATAGATAGATAGATAGATAGATAGATAGATAGATAGATAGATAGATACTGTGTTAGATGGATTAATTGACAGATAGACAAACGTAAGTATAAACTTTGATTGATTGATAGATAGATAAGACTAAACTCAGATTTTAATTAACTGAGATCTGGTAGGTACCACGTCCGAAGGATATATATATATATATATATATATATATATATATATATATATATATATATATATATATATATATATATATGATAATTAGAAAAAGAAGTTCAGGTATACTTTATATAGTTTATATTACAGAGTAGATCAGTTGGTCAATAAAACAAAGACAAACGAAAGGGTACTGCTGAAATCATTACAAAAAACATCTATTAATATTAATCAGGTGACGAAAATGAAGCACGGTGATTGAAGTGCCAAGTTCGGAATTTTCGAACACTCCTGTGTTCTTTATCAGCGGATGCGAGTAATTAACAGAGGAACAGTGGAAACTATCTCTCTCTCTATATATATATGAATTATATATATATATATATATATATATATATATATATATATATATATATATATATATATTATCAGTGTTGATGTATTAAAGCATGAAAACTCAATGAAAGTGTCTTCTTATAGATTATCTATATTTATAACGATGCCTCTTAATTTACATATATATATATATATATGAAGAAAAAATATCCATATATTTTTGCTTATATATATATATATATATATATATATATATATATATATATATATATATATATATATATATAGATGCATACAAATAAATGTATATGATGGCTGTTGACTCGTTAAATGAGTACGACCATCGTTGACATGCTTTGCGTTAAATTTGCCTTTAAAGCTGTTGTTGGTTTGTCGAAGTCAGTCCTTTTTTGTAACATACGTTCTCCTATCTTGTTCTTATTTGAGACAACAACTTTAATGACTTGTTCATTTTTATCAATCTGGTCACGTCTTTTAAGTGAAACAAATGCCAAAGTTTCGTTTGCCGAATTATAGATATGATCACGAGCTTCTTTCCAGCTACCTTAATTCACCTTTCAAATTTCAGTTCGAGGTATTTTTTTTTTTTTTTTTCTTTTGTTTTTTTTTTACAGCGCAGTTCACCCTTTACAAAGCATGCTTCACGAGTTTGGGAGGGGTGCTTCCCTCATGTAGCCTTGACACTGATTAGTGAATGACATGGCGTGACTAGTTGAGATATTTTTATAAGGATTTATCAGGGCAGGAGATTAGGAAGAGTCCGAGGTGGTTCTCCTGATGCCCGGTTGTGTCCGGTACCGGGGTAGGCTCAACGATGTTTATAGACAATTAAGAAGTCTCTATAATATCGGCCTTCAACATCGATTTTCTTTGAGTGTACTCGCCACACTTTATGATGGATATTGAAGTCACCGCAGTTATGAAAGCTGGCTGAGGGAAATTAAGTGAGAATATTATCAATCTTCTCAGATATTCGGTCGAAGATTACCGTCCTTTCGTCCTGAGGGGAAAAGACGAATGTGTTACTATGGACATAAGTGTCACGCGGAAGTACATATACGGGAGGCTATTCCGACCCTGCCACAGGGAAACTCGTCCTTGATGTCGGCTCCGAATCCGTGGCGGTGGAGATTTAGGGGGTCATATTTAGCTAGAAGAGGTGAGTAGCCAGCGACTGAACTCCCCTAGTGTGCATGAAGCGTTGATACCGGTTTCAGAAAGTAACAGGTGATCTGATTTAGATTGGAGAAGATGGTGTTTCACGGCGGAAAAGTTGCATCATAGACCCCTCACGTTGGTGTAAGAGATGCTATATGTTTTTCTCTAGGTTAGGTTTGATAGTTTTGCTCATTTGAATTTTGATTGGATTCATGTATGCATTGGTTGTTGAAAGACTAATAAGCTAAGGGGTAGACACAACCACAGGAGTTGCAAGTATAATTACCTTGGAGAGAATTGTTCGGAGATACAGCCGTAGCAGTATCCTTTATCATGGCATCGAGAGACCTCACTGGAGACTATTACACGGTTCAGGAACCATACACAAAATGGCAAAAGGCATTATCGAAAACATACCTGTTGGACAAGCGAAGAATTTCATAGGTGAGATTTTTACCAAATGTGAGGCAGAGACAGGATATCACTGGCGCTTTCGTGGGAAGAGGAGGAGGAGGAGAGGAGTCGCAGAGTGTCTCCGGTAGGGAGATTTTTGTCAAGCGTTTTGACAACTTTACAGTAACGTGATTTCGAGCAGCTTGCTTACTTGCAAAACGCATTTTGGAACTTCCTAATGCATGATTGGTCTAGCAGTCCGCAACGTAGACACATCTTACACAGAAGACATTCTGTATGTCACATTTTTTCTTCATTGCTCCAAGAAAGTGATATGGGTTTTAAAGAAGGGAAGTGGTTATTGTTTGATACTTAGATAAATAGAATCAAGTATATATGTATGATAGATAGATACATATAGTAGCTCTCGACTCACAACGCGAGTATGACCATCACTGACATGTCCAGCCATTCAGTTAAACTCCACCCCGACAACACTGCATTCATCGGTTGTGTGAATGACAGTGGCTCATAAATCCAGTCATCGATGTGCATTTCTTGTCACATATGTCGCATATCAAATCATCTCCCGGTGGTGGAAGTTGACTTTGATTATCATTATCTCCAACGTGCCTTTTCATATGCCTTGTCAGGTCCGACCTGGACTCGCTCACCCTAGTGCAGGTTGGCCATTCAAAGTATGCCATTAAGAAATCGTCATATACAATAGATTGTTGGTGTTGGTGTGATTTCTGGTAACTGAGCAGAGCTGCCGTGGACAGACATATGCAGTTGCTTTTGGCACATAGCCAGGTTGGCACCTCATGGCAATTCAGGAATCTCTTCCGAAACCCTCTCTTCAGTTCTGCATATTTTAGTAATCCCCCATGGACGATCTTGACACCGTCAGCAATACAAGCTCTCCATGAAACCCGGTCTTCAGCTAGAGTCTGCCAGTTATTCATTAGTGAGATAGATGCATACATATATATATATTTACATACATAACATCCCCTTCGTAATCCAGTATGGTCATGTTACGATATAAACCAAGACATTTTTAATGATGTTGCGATCGAATATGCCTTTTTTTGCCGAGCCATTAATTCACATCGTTTTCCAAAAGTCCTATATGCATGGGTCGCAAAAAATCTTACAATATCGAACAATTTTTAGAATTCGAAAAAAAAAACAAAACAAACGGTGCACTGGATGAAATCCATTATCCGTGCATGCAAAATAATCATCGAAAAAAAGTACAAATCTAAATCATCGGTTACAAGCTAGTTGCAGGTGTTATATTCGAGTATTCCTTCTCTGAATTGAATGCTTTAACGAATACTAAGGGACCAAATACCATAAATACATACATACATACATACATACATATATATACATACATACATAATGCATGTCAGATTACACAATTAAATAGATATAAATAAATGTGGTGATACAATTTTCAGGATATACTAGTATTTATAACAGGAAATATTAATATATTTTTCTAAAACTACATTTCATGAACAGAAAAACTTAAGATATGTTTCCTGTTGTAAATATTAGTTTTTTTATATAATTTTTGTCCATTTGTTATATTTATTGATACAATACACACAGATATACATACACACACACACACACACATATGTGTGTGCGTGTGTCTGTGTGTGTGTGATAGAAATTTTGAGGCATTAGTATAATCATTTCATAGTAATTCATCGAGTCTAGAAGAATCTTTAACTGAAAACACTAGACGGGCGTTTCGTTCTACTTTGGGACTAATTATATATATATATATATATATATATATATATATATATATATATAGAGAGAGAGAGAGAGAGAGAGAGAGAGAGAGTATATATAAGTATGATCTAAGAAATAAAATTTAAATGATAAATGTCGGATTAATAAATAAAGATTCCTTTCTTTATGAATCGCTTTGTTTACGTTAGAATACAAAACTGCGCAAACAAGTTTATTTTCGATGAATATATACATATTAATCATTTCATCTAAACGAAGGCAATAAAGTCACTAAGATGCAAAGGGTTTACCATGTGTTAGAGAATATGAGAAAAATATACTCTTAAGGAGAGAGGACAATAAAAGAACAATTATTAGAAATACAGAATGCAACGATTGATATTGTATTTACATTTTTGATGGTCAATGTTAACTGGGAAGCGAGAAATCGAAAGAAACCCCAAACGAGAAAAGTGATAGAAGAAATTATTGTTAGAGAACTTAAGATTTCATCTTGCCATTTTAATTGTAAAATGACGTGATATTGCTGCCAGTCTATTACTGCGATTAAATTCATGAAGGACTTATAGCATTTAGAAAAGTATTCATGAAAAAGGCAGAGGGAACATATTTTAGAGAGCTGGGAAAGTCAGTGAAGTCGAGATGCCAGGTTAGGATCAATAACATTACAGATTATTATTTGGTTTTTTTTATCAATAATCTCTAAATATATAGCAAGAACTCCAGACCAGATGTGATAGCAAACACACACACACACACACTAAAACACACACACACACACACTCATATACATATAGTAATACTCGGTCGGTTGGAATATATATATATATATATATATATATATATATATATATATATATATATATATATATTTGTAATGAAGGATTTGGTAATCCGTGTGGATAATTCCAAAGAAGATGTAATCCAGAAAGCTCAGTGTAACACCAGATTAAATATTAATTAAATATTTAAGAAAGAGACAACTTAAGGTTCCATGACTATAATTTATTTCCCAGAAAATACATTTTTCCTGGTTCATCAGGTCATACTTTTTTTCCAATGTAACCAAATTCCTTTGTAACTAATGTCTTAAAATAATTGGCGACTTTGTCCATTTCATAATATATATATATATATATATATATATATATATATATATATATATATATATATATATATATATATGTGTGTGTGTGTGTGTGTGTAAGTTTTTGTTATTGATCTCTATCTTTACCTACCCTTGGCATATTAAGTATTCTACTGTTTCAAATTTAATATAACCAGGCGTTTTTTATAGCTTTTCAGATATCTTTTTGCAAATTTTTTAGCCAAGAGTGTAATACTCAACTTTGTGGTAGGTATGTTTGTTTCATTAGTAAAGGTTCTTATTATACAGCATCTTTTCGGCAGGATTCAATTCGCGACATCAATTACTTCCGGCTTGAAGCAATCGGACGTCTATCCACACTGCGGAGCTGTGACACAGCGAAACAGTTTGTCAATGGATGACTATATATATATATATATATATATATATATATATATATATATATATATGCGCATCCTTTGTTGAAAATTGCCGACGAAGAAGGTTTAATTAATCCTTTATTGAGTTTTTCCAGCAATCTAACATTTTTCCGTTTTTCAGAGGTTAAAGAATGTAGAATTTGTCCATAGTTATAATTGTTCCGAGCGCTTTCGGCAACCTCTCTAGCCATAATCACGGATGTGTTTTTGGAACGTTAAATTCTGTGTGTGGCTGCTACATAATAATTTTACAGTGTGTAGTTCGATTGTTTTGTGTTTTTTTTTTTGTGGTCACGTGATATGCGCGGCCAATTGACCGGGGCAAGACTTCTATTTTTCGTGCACATTTAACACGCTGTTTTCTCTGCTCAACAGTGTGAGATTGTATATGTATATGCATGTGTGTGTATCACTCAAGCTGTTCATATCTATCTATGTGTGTTTTGTATATGTAGTTGTGTGTGTCTGCGTATATCTCTGCACATATTTTTTATTGCTTTGTTCTTTCGTGTTCTTATAACTCTGTGTGCTTTTGTATTGCTTTGTGTATGCGTGTGTATGTGCCTGTATACAGGCTTTTTTGTGTGTGAAGTATTTTTTAATACGCTCTTTTCTCTCCCTATAAAGATTCCTCACCTATTATTAATTTCAGTTGCTCCCGACAAGGATTTTATCGGAACTATTTTTCTTTTAAACTTTTCTAGGCGTATCTGCTTTTATCTCCCACTCACTCTCCTTAATCTCTTAATTTTAACATTGTTGGCAAGAATTCAACTTATTAGTATTTACACAGTATAATACTTCCAAGATTATCCGGACAGCGTACGAGAGGTGCTGAAAAAATGTTTGGATAATTCCAAATTCCTTATAATTGAATGCCTGAATTACGGAAAAAATGACGGAAAAATCAATTTCTGATAGAAATTTAACATTTATATCATCCAGAATATTTTGAAAAGATTATTTTTTTAATTTCCAGTTTATTTTTAATCACTTGTTTAGTTTTACTTTATTCATATTCATATAACGTGTGCTAAATGGCAGGGTTTACTGTCAGAAGAATCGGAACGAAAGCTTTATCCGTTAGAAATTCCTTTCTCTAAGATTTACGAATTATTTATGATTATTAATTTATGAAAAGCCTATCCTCTCAATGTCATTTGGCAGAAGAATTTTCTTTAAGAATATAAGAATATCCACACTATCAGTAGACATTAATCCTCGTAAAATTTGTTGGAATATAAAAGGTGAAATTAAAATAAATTAATTGAACTAATTTTATCAACGTTTCTATCAAACTTTGAGTCAGATATTTTTAATTCTCAAAACGCTTGTCTGAGATGAAATATTAGAAAGTGTTTGGATAAGTGCAAAAATGTTTGGATGATTTCAGTTTTTCGCTTCATCTTTCGTCCACAAAGTCAAAGTCCGAAAAATCGAGGTACAGGTAATCGTATAAGTACTGTATATTGTTGAACAAGGTTAAATAGAAAAGGAATAGAATTAGAAAGACTATATTTCGATAATCTGTCAGAAAATATACGCTTGAGTACTAATCAGAAGTGCTGGCCCTATTAAATCATTTCTTTCATGACTATTCCAGACGGTCTTTGTCTTTTATATAAAATGAATGGAATTAAATGATATTGTCGACTTATACACGAATAGCATCAAATGATATTGTCGACTTATACACGGATGACATCAAATTATATTGTCGACTTATACACGAATAGCATGAAACGATATTATCGATTTATACACGAATAGCATTAAATGATATTGTCGAATTATACACGAATACCATCAAACGATATTATCGACTTATACACGAATATCATCAAATGATATAGCCGAATTGTACACGAATAGCATCAAATGATATTGTCGACTTATACACGAATAGCATCAAATGATATTGACTTAT